GAGAAGCAGAACACTTTCAAGATTAACTAAGAGCACCACTCTGAAATGATGATGCTCAAAGCCCATGAGATGATAGGTGCTTTCCGTATGGATATATGTGACTTTCATTCATTTATGAGATTCCTTACACACCTGATGCAGGCTAAACTGCAGACTTAGTTTGTTTTTCCTTACTATGCCTATAGAGGGAGTTAAGGCTCACAGTTCGGAGTGTTGTGTCGTCCTGTCAAAGAACACTGAGAGACAGCATTAACAGTTCTGCAAACAGCTTTTAATCTTTAAAACAGACTCGGTTTTGTTCTCAGTAATGATTATTTCAGAGTGCAGCTGTTTTCATCCAAGTTGCAACAGGGTAATCAGAAATGGCAATATGCATATCCAAAATCCTGCTTATTGGGAAGAACCGAGGTACATCAAGCCACAGGATTCCCACAGAAAAATATATTTTGACATTCACTTAAATCCTGCAGTGACATAATTCATCACCAAAAGAACTGACAGAAATCTGTCTGTCAGTTAAATGGTTATGCACATTACTATGCTTATCTTTAGTTCTCCTAGCAAATTTTTAAAGTGTTCAATTACAAGTGATATTTTGAGATGCTCGAGAATTATCCTTGTTCGTTATTAAAATATTAAACGACTACCTCTGTATTTAGCTTGTATGCTTTACTTCTTCACCTATTTAATCTTCTCTTTCCCCATTTCTGCTGTTTTACTGAGTTTCTAAGCAACCATTGCCCAAAATCTGTGACATATGCAAACCTAGGAATAACAGAAGTTAATGTCAATCTCTCTTAGGTGGCTAAAGTTAAGAGATGAATGGTCAAACAATATAGAAAAAGCATGAACTTACAGCCCTACCCATTTGAGAACCTCAAAAAGTGCACTCAGGGAAGAGCTGATACGAATATACAGTACCAGATGTAGCTTTCATTATTTCCTCGGTTTTCCAAGTCAGGTGTTCCCACATGTCCCATAACACAACAAAATATCACAAAGTACAAAAATGTGTCTGAGGGGCAATTCAGCACAGTCTTCAAGTAATGGAGATCAACTGAGTGCCCAGCTCAGGTGTTTTGGGGAATAACAGTCTGAATTTTCAGAAAAGCATAATGATATCATGGCTATATATTCCAATAAGTGATCATTTAGCCCTTGACTATATTTAGTTGAATTAATTCCTGTTATTAGTATGGGGGTTTTATATGACCAAGTTATCCACTGACCTAGACAGGTCAGACTTCCCAGCAGCTATTTGAAATGCATGACACATTCTGGACAGAAGCAGCTGTCAAGGCATGTAATGGAGGCACTTTTGTGGGAAATACCACTTAATTGTGGCTGGTGCTGCTGAATTAGTCAGACTTCCTTACTGGTAGTAGATGAGACAATGTAGTGGAAACTTAGCTCTTCTGTCTCAAGACAGCGTGTTTTATAACATAAATTTCCAGAAAGAATTGCAGTAATAATCAAAATTCTGATCTTTAGACATAAACATGCGATACCCTTTCCAACCAACACAGAAAAAAAAAAATAATATTTTTGGGGGGAGCATAATATGGCTCAAAACACAAAATGTTAAATTTTGGATTAGTATAAAATACGTGTCACTAAAACATAGGTATCAAATAATTAGTGGAAAGCTTGTAAGCACAAATAAGATTTTTTTATGAACAAATAGGAAGCTCTTGAAGAGGTCTCTTCACTTTTAGTGTTGGTGTGCTGGTTCAAAAATTATTCTAGAATATAAAATTTAAAAACTGCAGAAGCATTTTAAGCACAAATTCATAACAGATTTCACTCATAGTTACATAGATTTTACCTGTTGATTTTTTACTACGAATTTTACAAAAGCTTTCTTTTATTTGAGTCTTGACTGCCTCAAACACATTATTTTCCTTCAGCTGGCAGAAAGACTCTTTAGAAGTTCACCAGCATGATTTCTTAGCTGTTTGTCTATTTGGTGTTTCATCAGTAGGATCAATTACATTGTGTTAAAGACTTGCTTACATTATGAGTAACTGACTGTTCCACTTGGTGTATCCTAACTACCCCTAATTTCCCTTGGGCTTCCTATGCTTGCTGCTTGTTGTGTTCTACCAGCTGGGGACAGCCAGTGTGTCTGTTTTTAGCTGTGACACGTTAAACTCCATACACAAGGAAAGATGCAATAGCTATTGAGCAAGGATACAATGTGAGTGAATAAACATCTCCCACTGACTTGTTGTCCTTTCTGGAAAAGTTACTGGTTATTTTCATTTCTTCAGTGTTTACAGAAGGTACAGCTTTGCTAATTGAAGGCTTGCAAAGCCTCAACCTACAGCCTCATACATTTCATTTAATCTGCCAGAATAATTAACCCCACTTATTTCTCAGGAAGACTCAGGTTCTTCCTATCACACTCGCACATCTTAAACTACCCGACACAATCTGTTTCTCAAATTTTATATTGGTATTTTCTATCAACATTTTCATTATTACCTGCAAGGCTAAGTTGTAATTATTAAAATGTCCAATGCTGAACAAGCCTTGACGCCAGTACATACACGTTCCACTTTAACAACCCTTTATCACATCATCTACTGTGTTAATTAGTACAAGGTCACAAACCTTGTACCTTCTTGTGGATCAAAAGTGAACAAACTATAGAATACAGCCTGACTGATCTAATTCCTTATGGCAAAATTCCTCATTAACTGAGCATCTAAGGACCAAGTTTCATTCTGGTTTTCTTTGCTATGATTTTAATATAGTCAAGTAGTAAAACTTCAGGCCATTGCCATCGCAGTCATGTGATTTTCTTTTATGGGCAGATGAAAGGCACAAATGATGGGGGCCATTAGAAAAGACTTAGCACCTCTGAAGTTACAATCACTATACAAACTTTGATATATTGGTGCTTTAATATGGCATCCCAAAAGCAATTTTCTTGGTAGCTCCTCTAAGAAACAGTATTTGAGGAGTGGGAGCAATACTTAAGATTTCTACTTGATAGATAACATATATGGTTCAATGTTTTAGAGGTTCATTAATTAAATCGGCCTTGGGGGAAGAAAAAAAAAAAAAAAGATACCACAACCTGGAAATTGAAATATGCTGTACTGTGGACCTTCTGTTATGTTGTATGCATGTGGTAACATTCAGCTCATCCAAGATAACAAAGACAGGGAAACACAGGAAGAAATAAATCTGCCCGAAAGCTTGCAGCTAATTAATGTAATTTTTAAAAATCTATTACTTTATATCTCATATAGAAATAGCGTTATAACACAAAACTGTGTAAAAAAAAAAAAAAAACACCACTAAATTTTGCAATATTTTAAAATGCTTGTACTAATTTAAAAATATTTTTTATTACTTACTGTATCTGGCACAGTAACTCAGAAATTACTGCATTTTCAGAAATGGGAAACTTTGCTATCCCACCATGATAGAAAGGTAGTTCCTGTAAAGCTTTTGGTCTCAAAGTTAGCATTAAGATCTTCTATTCTGAAAAGGTCTGGCATTTTAAATTTTGAGTGAATTTGCAGTTTTGTCTTTGAATAGCATTTTTGAGGGTTACTAACCTGTAAATACTAACCTGAATTTAAATACTGTTTTCCTAGTTGCAAGTTCTGTCTTTGCACTTACATGAATCAAAAATAACCAGAGATGGCTCAATTTTCCATCATGTCGAGGAATACAACAAAAGCAGGCACGCAAAGGAAAGGAACACAAGTAGTACAGGGTTGGTTAAAAATCGTAACAAAAATGCATGGGAAGCCTTTATGTACAATTTGAAATTTCAGTGGAAGTTTCCATTCAACAGAAGCTGTAAACTTCCAGCAGTAAGAAGTACTGAGTGGATAGCATCAATTAATCAAATACATAGGCCTAGTTCAATTTCGCTCCCCCCTCTTTATTCACATACACCAGTAATTTTCACTTTTTTCCCCATCTCTTCCATCAATACCAAAACCATTTGTATGATGACAGCCATTGTTCTCTTCATTTCACATTTGTGATCAGGGCTTAATGGCAGAGTTCTGGTTAGCATTAAATCTCTTAATTTCAAGTCCCCAGTTACACAATATTCCCTCCACTTACGGACTTTTACCTTGAGAGTCTCTGCATTGGCTTAGTAAATGCTCTTTTCCAACAGCATCAAAAAAATCACAGCAAATAATTCTTTTTTTTCCAGTTAATGTCTGAAATGTTTTCAGCAACACAGTTAAAGAAGTTTGATGTAGAAAGTGGTGGTCTTATATTTTAAACACTGAATACTTTTCCTGGTATGTTGCTGTGAAACATCTTGTTGCAACAAGAGCAAAGTATCCGATTTGAGGTGGTGGGAATCAGCCCAGGAGACAAGACCGCTACCATCTACTGAGATTGAAAAAAAAGGTGGAATTGATTCTGTTAATGCAAGTTTGCATTCATGGTCAATTTATAACTAGAGTTATCTGAAATAGTAAGATAGTAAACAGAAACCCTCAAATCTTCATGGCCTACACCAGAACAGCAGTAATGCTCCAAGACAGAATGCAAATGAAACCTTTGCCTTTCCAGCAGTTTCATCAAAACATTACAAAGGCTTATCAGCAGCTTAAACATAGCTGCAGCCTAGCTAGCAGAGTGAACCGAGGCTGCTCAAAGTCAGTTTTGCTTCTGCAGCAGGAACTGCAGGAGGAAGATAGAGATGATGGCTTGTTACATCTATACCTCACACCATGCTTAAGAAATACAAATCTGTGTTTGCATTGTTTTGGTCAGTGCTGTTTTCCAAAGCACGAAGATAGCTCAGCCTTTACCAAAAAGGCATTTTATTAATTATTAGCTCTGCTAATAAAAAAAAATAAAAAACAAACAAAAAAAATAAAAAATAAATGTATTTTTGGCCACAGCTCTGCCCAGAGGAGACGGTGATAAAACACAGAACCAGTACAGCCTGGCAGCACTATTGGACAACAGAAGTTACACAGTAAGACACAACGAGAAACTAGGAACAGGTTGCATTATAGAGTCCTATAGCTAAAGAGAGAATTTTAATAGCATATGGTTTAAAAGTGATTTTGTACATATAATACACATTAAACAAATACATATTGAGAAAGGTTGCAGGGAGTGATTTCTTTTTTCCCCAAACTTTATGCAGCACTGAATGTTCAGGTGACTTTTAGACATAAAATAAATCCTATATACATATAGGTGTTCACATTTTGTAAACTAGAACCGATAGCCTAGTGCTCTTTACAAATTTTCAAAAGAAAGAACTGTTACAACTTTTTTACTTCCGATATAACAATCTTTAGTCAAAAAACCCCTAACTCTCTGTTGATGTTTTATCATGCCGTCATTACATTGTCGTCTATTAACCAACCACTATTGATTTATTAATAATTATGTTGACTTTAGACTGCAAGGTTTTTAGATCAGGAGACAATGTAATGTATTTAGTTGTTGTAAAGACCTGTGTATTTTGGGAATCTGTGAAAGGGCATTCAGAACACTGAGCACTGAAAGAAAACCCACACAAATAATTATATTTGGTCTGTTATTTTTTTCAAATATTGTAAATATACAGCAGTGTAACAAAAAGTTCTGTTTAAGTGGTACATCCAAAAGCAGCAGGTCACTAATACACTCCTAGAAAAGATGCAAAGTTTGTCCATTCTAGATAGGATTGTGATCAAATAATTGTGACTCTTATTTTTCATCCTGTGTAGAAGGGCTCTTGTTACTTGCTAAATTTATTTTCCTGTTCGGACAGGAAATCATCTAGCTAACAGTATCTCTGATTTGACTGAAATAATTTCTTATCAAAGTAATCTTCCAGAAGCAAAGGTGATCTTCCAAAAGACAGAAACTTTAGATTTATAAGTTTATGTTCCTTATACTTCCCAAGTCGTCATCATAGAACCAGGTTTCAGTAAACATATTAGAGTTTTGCAAAGCCTCGAAAAGACGCCTGTAGTCTTCTGGGTATAAGTTACGTGTTTCAGCATTTTGGGGAATTTCTATCTCTCTCAGTAATTTGCCACTACTGTCCAAGCTCCATGAACTGAAACAAACAAACAAAAAAAATCATAACGGAGTGTCTCTTCCTGTGAAAAATTAAAGAGCAAGAAACAGTATCTGAAGGTCCATTTCACTCTTTCACAGCTTTCAGAAGTTACTATCTTCCTACGACACAAGTTATTTTCAATCCATACTGCAAACAGGAAGAAACCTCTGCTAATAAGATATATAAATATGAAAGAAAGCCCCCAGCATGCATAGACAATACCAAACCACATAAGCACCCTTGTTAGAGGGTGGGTGCTCTCCCTCCCTCCTCTGCTTCAACTGCATGTCACTAACAGGCATTACAGCATAAAAAGGGGTTATTCTTCAATGCCGGGGAAATTAAAGCCAAGGTCATCTTCAAGATAATGATTCAATATAGCATGAATTAGTGTGACTTACACCTCCCAGGTATTTTCTTCTCTATATAAACAGATATATCCACTGTGTCCCCATCTACATCATTGCTATGAAAACAAGACCTTTTATAAACATGCATACACATGAACTATTTCCCGAACAAGAAAATACTGTATAAATACACAGAAGATGCACATTAGAAGCCTTCAAGGTTAGCACCACTTCCTGGCTGAGGGGTCGAGTTGAGATTAGGTACATCACTGAGCTTTAAGAAAGAAATCCATTAAGGCTCTTTGCACTTGTCTTTGCTAAATGAGCTACTGGAATTTATTAGCTTTTTTTTTTTTTTTTCAGGAAATTAACTTTCATAAACTACTACCAGAAAATGAGAAATTTATTATTTTCATTAACAAGTTGAAACCAATGCTTTCCAGACTGCAAACGCTTCCTGCTTATAGGAAACAGAAATCTACTGATAAAGCAAAGTGAATAGCTCCAATGTAATACCAAAAAGAATAATTAAGAGTTGCGTAATTGGTAAATAGGTCTAAAGCCTAATTTTTTAATTAGATAGAAGAAAGTCATTTGAGGACATCCCCAGTCTACCTCCAATAACCTTCAGCTGTTTTCATTAACGTTACTCAGATGTCTGTTATAAATGGAAACTCTTTTCCAGCTTTTGATTTCTATACATGCAAAACACTTGATGACTATTATTATGTCTGTAAAGTCAGTGAAAACTTCCTGCAGATACATGACCTCACCTCCACTGGAGGTACAGACAGTCGATGCACATCTACATTCTAAATACTTGTCGACCTTCTTGTCAAACCTCAAGTTTTTATCACCTGTGAATACAGGTCAGGAACAAATAAAATATTGTATTGTGGGTTGCAAACATGAAATCTCCTATTCTACATGTAGATAATTAATTTAACAAAAAAAAAAAAAGCAAGCTGTATTTCAGTTGCAAATAAATGCTGCTTTGAGAACATACTTTAATATTTTCCTATATTTCTATGAAGAAAAAGTATAAACACTGTAATTATTTCTTACTTACTTCAATCTATTAGTAAGTCTAGACCTGGGTTTAGCAAGACACTGTTTCACCAGGAAAATAAAGGTAGATGAATTTGTGGGTGTCAGGCCTCCTGTAAATAGATTTTGCCGAGGAGTCAGTCGTACCAAACATAAATGGTCATTTGGCAGCCACTGCAAGAAGAACAAACCAAGTCACTGAAAAGTCATTTTTAAGACAGTGTCTGTCTTTAGCTCTAAGTAAGCATTTCATCTATGCCACCAGTAACATTTCTTAAAAAGTTTCAGAAGACTTAAAAAGAAGACTGGAAGCTGAGGCTTTAAAATTTTGTTCTAGACCAAAGATGCTTTACCTCCCCTGACCCTCAAACAGGAAAGGAAATAGGAAACAAAACAGACACACTATCCCTTCAGTTTTTTTCTCATTTTTTAAGACTGAACTTTCTTAGTTGAAATAGACAATACAGGCTTGATGTGAGTTTTCATAGGATTATTTGACCTAAAGTATTCCTATACTATGCAAGGTATCAGATCAGATCACTTCAACTATCTGCCTTTTGCGTATAAAGACAGAATTATTTGAGTGTCACATCAAGACAATATTGCAAGTTGAGGATTTTATGAAACTGGGAAGGCCTGGAGTCTAACCAAAATAAACGTACTTCTGTATTGGTAGCAATGGATATGTTGTCCAAGAGGGCTCACATTTGTACTCCTCCTAAGACTATCACAATACATCTTACACAATCCACCCGTTATGTCTCTCTACATGGCTTTACAGCAAAACACCCAAGTGTGTAAGGGACACCCAGTCGCTTGCATTCACTTATAGTGACTTATATTGTATAACAACATTTCAAACAACACTCAATATACTACTGTAGCAGCTTTCTGGGGAGGGTAAAACCAAATACTAAGTGAACACGCTTTTGTATTATTGGTATTAAACAGAAATACACAAAGGAACATCATTATTTCTCTAAAAGAGAAAAGTAAAGAACCTTACACAAGGTATTTAAGCTTTGAGACTCGTACTTTTCAGCACACGGAATCTACACTGGACATGTGAATAACCATTTTAATCAAAACCAGCAGCACACTGATTGTGCTATTAATCATGGTAACACTTGTTTTGTTAAAGCACGTAGATGTGACCCTGTCAGCAACTTCTTTTGAAAAAGACTCTACCTGCTCACATCCCTTTATGCTGTTTATTCAATGTATTTTTTTCCATCATAGACAATAAAGATACCAGCTTATTTCAATTTCTAAGCTAATAACAATTCTTCACCCCACTTCTGATGAATCTACATGCTGCCTGTAAGTTTTAATTCGAAGAATACTCCTTACAAAATACCTGTGTAAATTCTGTTACAAAGTTATTTTAACCTTTTAATTGACAGTGATTTAGCTGCATCTCCAAAAGGAGAAAAGTGTGAAGAACGATCTTACCATGCTTTTTGGTATTGCCAGTCTTCCATTTTTCGAATTAGTTACAAACGATGACCAAGGTTCCTATGGGAGGGAGCAAATATATTATAGACTTAAAGTGCTTTATTAGAATAGAATACAACAGAACTATTTCAGCTGGAAGGGAACTACAACAATCAACTAGTCCAACTGCCTGAGCAATTCAGGACTGACCAAAACCTAAAGCACGTTAAGGGCATTGTCCAAATGCCTCAAACACTGACAGGCTTGGGGCATCGACCACCTCTCTAGGAAGCCCATGCCAGTGTTTGACCACCCTCTTGGGAAAGAAATGCTTCCTACAGTCCACTCCAAGCCTCCTCTGGTGCAGCTTTGAACCATTCCCATGCATCCTGTCACTGCATCCCAGGGAGAAGAGACCAGCACCTCCCTCTGCCCTTCCCCCTCCTCAAGAAGCTGCAGAGAGCAATGAGGTTGTTTCTCAGCCTCCTTTGCTCCGAACTAGACAAGCCCCGAGTCCTCAGCCGCTCCTCACAGGACATTCCTGCCAGACCCTTCACCAGCTTTGTTGCCTGCCTCTGCACACATTCAAGGACCTTCACATCCTTCTTAGCTCATGGGGCCCAGAACTGCACACAATACGCCAGGTGAGGCCGCACCAACGCTGAACACAGCGGGATGATCCCCTCTTTTGCCCGGCTGGTTGTGCTGCATTTGATGCGCCCCGGGGTGCCGTTTGCCCTCTGGGCTGCCAGGGGGCTCACCGCTGGCTGGCACTGAGCCTGCTGTCACCAGCACCCCCAGGCCCCTTTCTGCAGGGCTGCTCGCCAGCCACTCCTCTCCCAATTTATACTTGTGCCTGGCGTTACTCCATCCTAGGTGCAGAATCTGGCATTTTGACTTGCTAAATTTCATCCCGTTGATCATTGCCCAATGCTCCAATCTATCTAGATCCCTCTGCAATGAGCATCTTGTCTCTCAAGACCGTCAACGGCACCTCGCAGTTTATATCACAGCAAACTTGCTAATGGTGCATTCAACCCCTGCATCCCGATCGTTGAGAAATACACTGAAGAGAACTGGCCCTACAACTGAACCCTGAGGAACACAGCTGGTGACCGGGTGTAGCCCCTGTTCACTGCAACCCTTTGAGCTCTGCCCTTCGGCCAGTTCTTCACCCAGCGCACTGTGAACCCGCTCATCCCACAGTTGGACAAGTTGTCCAGAAGGATGCTGTGGGGGACAGTATCAAAAGCCTTGCTAAAATCCACAAAAACTTATCACTAGGCAGGTAACCTTATCATAGAAGGACATCAAATGAAACAGGGACCTCTGTGAACCCACACTGACCATGCCTGATGATTGCTACTTCCAGTAGTACCCAGTCTAACTTTCTCCATAATTTTTCCAGAAACTGAGCTTAGACTACCAGGTCTGTAGTTCCCTGGCTCTTCCCTCAAACCCTTGTAAATCTGAGTAACATTGGCTAGCTTCCAGTCAGCAGGGACCTCCCCAGGCTCCCAAGACCTATGGCAGATGATCGAGAGAGGTCCTGCTGTAGCATCCACCAGCTCCTTCAGTACTCTGGGACGAATCCATCAGGCCCCACAGACTGGTGAACATTCGGCTGATACAGCTGGTCCCTTACAATTTCAGTGTCCGCAGATGGAAAGTCACTGTTCCCACACTTGTGGTCCTCTGACTCAGGGGACCAGGCAGACCAGGGTCTATCAGTATTATTACAGGCTGAGGCAAAAAATGCATGGAATGCCTCTGCTTTTTCTTCATGCCTATTAGTCAGATGACCATCTCCAACAAGTAACATCTTACTCCTCAACTCTTTAGTACTCACCTTAATATCTACCTCATGGTATAAGTTAGACAGAAGATAATAGATAGTGAAACTTCTAATTTTAGATTACCAAAACATTTAAACTATGAACGTAGGTTGCTAGAAAAAAAGAGCACAAAGTCTAAAAAGCATAAAGTGAAAGTTGATGGCCATGTGCTCATGTGGAGGTGAGGGGACAACATAAAAAACTTTTTAAAATTAAATCATAGCATATTTGACTAGCAGGAGAAGCAAAACAAAGGTACCTGCTTAGAACATAAAGGTACCAAGACTCAAAAGAATATTTCTACTGCACACAGCTCAGGAAGTTGAAAGCATACATGATGGCAAAATGCAGAGGACATAACGAAGAGCAGACCATGACAGACTGGAAGAGCAGTCTTCTAGTCTCACAGAACCCTTAGCAAGATGGAAAAAGACTTAGTTGTTTTGCAAGCATCTTTCTTATTTACCAGCTTCTGAGAATAAATGTTTTTGCGTACATTGGCCTATAATGAAAATACTGACATTATAGTTAATAATGATGCTGCTTAACTGAAAGAGTTTTACACAAAACGAGACTCTTTCAGGTTTTTACACCCAAAAGTTTTCAATAGTTTTCCAACTACTTTAAACATCAAATTAGCTCCCAATTCATTTACAATAGTAAAACACTACAACACTTTTTATAAACATATCCATAGCATTAGACCATATCAGCAGGTACAAAAAACTTACCATGTGCAGTAGCTGAATTTCACATCCTACTTGCCAAAGTACACTAAGCGCCTGGTAAGCCTTCACTTCCATAGGGTTTGCTGTTAATACCTAACAAAACGAGAGCGTTTTTGTGGCAAAACCTAAGATTGCCTCTTTATCTAAGCAAAATCCTTATATATATATACGTATATATACATAACAAGTGATAAGAAATTAATAGTTAAGTCTAAAATTCCAAGGTAAAGTTACATTAGGCCTCAAATACCTACTTTGTGCTATTTTAGTTCAGCTTCCCAGAACACATTATTAGAAGACATTATGGCAGTCTTAAGTATTTCTTCGCAGCAGTTATGTGGATAACTGAACTATGTAGAAATTTCCAGCTTATACTTTCTGGTCAATTGTAAGGCAGAGAAGTTTCACACAAAAGAGAAACAGGGATCATATTTTGTATAAAAACCATAACACAGGCAGTTATCAACTCGCACTGATAAGATAATATTCCCAGTAAGACCAGCAAGCAGAGTAAGCCAGAAATCAGGTGACCACACTGAACTTGCAGAGTCATCATCCTGTTCAATATTACAAATCAGACATTTAGCGCAAAAGTAACAAAGAGATGTTACTCTCAAACAGGGCAAAGAAAGTAAATTGTAGCAGGGAGATTTAACTTCTCATGACAGATTTAGACAGCCTTGTCATATGATTAAAAAAACAAAAGCAAAACAAAACGGAACAAACAGTGCCCACTAAAAGAAGGTTCCAATTGCTTTTACTTAGGTACACAACTCTCATTTAACAGGGTTCACAATATAACCAGAAGACTTAATAGAAAAACCACAGTAACTGCATTAAATGAATAGGCTGCCCCCTATTTACTCAAAAATCTGGCCATTAAAAACATACCATTTCAGTGGATATCTTAGGGGTGTCCAACCTCTCATTCCACAGAAGAATATACTTAAGACTTGATTTTTTTCAGTAGGGTGTTAGCCATAACACAGGTTGTATAAGCACACCTGGAAGTCTTTGCTTACTTCAATTAAAGGTTTGTGGCTCCCTATGAACCTCAAAGTTTCACAAAAAGAAAAGGTACCCTTGAACTGTAAGTACAGTTCTAGAGGTTTGGGACAGGATAAATTAGGAATACATAACCCAGAAAGCTGCTCTGCACCTTAGTGTACAGAAACTTAATAAAAAGGTGTGTAAATAACTCTCATTTTGCCTTAGCTTTTTTCAGTACTGCATATAAAAGCAGTTCAAGAGGACAGCTGCATCTCACTGAGTATGGTATTTAGTAATCCTGAATCCTCTTTACGAGGCATTTTGAATTCACTTTTCATTGACTACTACCTGTAACTAGTAGTTTTATTGCAAAATCACATTACAGAAATTAAGCACCTCACAAGTTTCAATAGGAAGCAGCTAGTCTGCTGCTGCATATCCTTCTCAAGGACCAGTCTTCACTTTTCTAAGATCTGTGGTCATGTGACAACAGAATGTTTCCCAACAGTGCTATTACTGCATAGAGAGAACAAGTAGGAAACAGACGGGACTTAAAAATTCTGACAGAAAAAGAAATTCATTAGCAATAACTATACAATATAAATGTTTTTGTGTTCTGTGAAGCACTACTTATTCTTTACTAACTGTACGATCTTTTATACATACCTTGTACTCTTTTTCACTTACAAAGATGTTGAGTTCTACTCTTCCATATCTGAATATGGAACTGCATTCATACACGGCAAAAAGAAGCCTCCAAAGCATGATCCTTTCCTTTCTCTGTTGTAAGATTCCAAAAACTCTCACAGGTACATCTGTTTCAATAGTGTGTTAAAGTATCTTTAAAATTTTGCAGTTCGCACTAGAAAATCTCATTAATGCTGATGTCTAAACTACGAACAATTAAGAAAAGAAAGTCTGTCAGCTCATGTTGTTCAAGAATGAATACAATTCAAGCTTTAGTCAAAGCTAAGCCCAATTTGCATTAGACTAAACCTTTAACGAAGACAAGCAAATACCTGAGATTTCATATTGCCACAAGGTTTTTTTAAAGCTAGCAAGAACCTAAAGCTGAAATGTAGGAAATAGTATCCATTAATCAAGCATATATATTAAATGGAACATATACCTCAAGAAAATCCTAAAGATTTTGCCAAAGTGCCTATACACCCTTCAAATGTATTTGTAACGTGTGATCATATACATATACCTGCCCTCCAAGGAACTGCTGCTACATCAATGGTTTCAAAAAGTTTGTCAGAAGACATAGCAGGTGGTTTCAGTGCTCCGGCATTCAAAGGATCCAGTCTGAAGAAGTCACCGTAAATTACCTTTAATTGTCCATCCAGGCTGTTCTCTAGGGACTGAATAAAGTTACCTTAAGTTGAAGAAGTCTGGATGCCATAACCTGTCTTGCAAAACACCCAAACAAAAATGTTCAAGCACTACCTAAAATTGTTACCCAATCAACAGGAGTTAAATCTCAGAGCTGCTTCTTACAGCTTATTACAAAAAAAGGTCAAAGCAACTGATTATAAAACAGCCTATTGCTGAAGGTGCAATGTAAAACCAAACAATACTTACTGTCATTAAGCGCTATTTCAGACATAACGATCACTGGCTAATTCCTTTTTGATCCAACAGTTATTACAGAATTGTAAGTTAATGTCTTATTTTCCCTTTAATTAAGTTTTAGAAATGTGCTACCAAATCAGAAGTGTACCTGTAAGTTTGGAAGAAAAGCTGAATTGCTTTCTAGAGCTACCACTCTAACGCCTGCATTGAGCAGAGTTCGGGTCAAGATTCCAGGACCTGATGGGGGGAAAAAAAAAAAAAAAAAAATAGAAGTAGTGTATTTTTTCTGTAAGTGATTTCCTTTAGTGATTTTCCCAACATACCACTTGGGACATACCACCTTCAACAGAAGATAACTTGTGTTTGTTTAAACACAGTTCAAAACAAGAGTTTGAATAAAGATTAAAGCAGAGTCTGCCTGAGATTGCTCAGTGAGTTACGCTAAGCACAGCATAAAAATTAGATACTATATATTAAATATAACGTTTCAAATATTCCTACGACTTTTTCTTCTGCTAACTGAAATATACTTTGAAACCTTACCCATATTATCTCTACAACTAAAACACCCTCAGCAAAAATCTATAAAAAAGTAACTGCAGAGGGCTAGCTATGTAACAGCCCACAGTATTAGGCATGCTTTTACTGGCAGAAAGTTCTCCTACAGAAACAGGAACATTACCCGGATAGAAATTTGACGCTTCTGCTTGCCCTACAGTGAAGTTTTAACACCAGTGACTCGAGTCTCCATCCTGACTGAGCAGCCGCTCGTTTCCCGCAAAGCCCTGTGTCAGTGGCACCCCCCCACGCCCCCCGCAGTGGCGCGACACCCCCCACGGCCCCGCCGGGCGCCAGCGCCCGCCCTGGAAAGGCACCAGAGTGGCGGCCGGGGCGGCCCTCAGCACGGATCCCGTCCCGGAGGGCCCGGGAAGCGCCGCCACGCAACGGAGCCGCCACTCCCGGGCGAGGCAGGGCCCCGTCCCCTTCCCGCGGCCCCGGGGGCCCGTCACCGCCGGCGGCGAGGGCGGCGGCTCACGCTGACCCCGCAAGGTCACCGAGGCACGCCGAGCAGCGCCGCGTCCCGGCGAAGCCCCAGCGGGCAGCGGACGGTTGGAACCTCGGGGCGGCTTACCGGGCGCGAACTCGAGCAGGACGGGCTGGGGGCCGGGGCTGGCTCCGCTCTGCAGGCAGCGCTGCACGGTGCGCGCCAGCCGCGGGCAGGCGATGAAGCGGCGGAGCGGCGTGGATCTCCGCTGCGCGAGCTGTGCCTGCTGCACCAGCTGCACCGCCTCCGCCTCCTGCGGCACCCGCAGGCCCGGGCTCGGCCACTGCCCCCCCGCCGCCCGGCCCGCCGCCCGGCCCGCCGCCCGGCCCGCCGCCCGGCCCGCCGTCACGCAGCACGGCGGCAGCCCGCACAGCAGCGGCCGTAGGGCCGCTGCCAGGAGGCGGCGGCGGCAGCCCGCGGCGCCCGGCGGGGCCCAACCCGCAAGCATCGCGCCGCCGCCGCCGCCGGCTCCGCGCTGCCGGGCACCTGGTGCGCGATCGCCGCGGCAACGGGAGCGTCACTTCCGCCGCTCCCCAGCCTCTCTAGCGCTCTTCCGCTCTATCGTCGGAGGTCTCTCGTCCCGCCGCCCTCTCTATGGTGCCAGACCTGCACCGCCGGCAGCCTGCGGCAGCGGCGGGACCAGCCCCTTCTCCCCCACGCCATGCCGGGCGGCGGGTCCCGGCCGCCCGAGCCGCTGCGGAGCTGAGGTGAGCTGAGCTGGCGGAGGCTTATCCGCAGGAGGAGAGGGGGGAAAAGGGGGGAGATATTTCCCCACCCCGGTGCCGCGCGCCGCCGCTCTTCCGCTCGTCCCGGCCGCCAACGGGGGCTACGGGGGGGGGGGGGGGGGCGGCGGGGACGGCACCTTCCCGCCGGCTGCCGCGGAGCTGCGCCCTGAGGCAGGCGAGCGCGCGCGCGGGCGGCGGTTAAACGGCGACGGCGGCGGAAGGTGAGGAGGAGGGTGGGGGGGGTGGGCAGAGGCAGTACCGGGCGGGCTGAGGTCACTGCCCGCCTCAGCCGGGCATGGCGGGTACCGGCGCTGCGGCTCCGTCAGCCGGAGCGGTGCCTCTGGAGCAAACCGGAGGGATGAGAGGCGTGACGGGGGTTGGCCGCTCAGGAACGGGGAGGCTTGGGCCGGCGAGGAAACACGCTTCAGCCGGGCGCCGGTGGGAGCGGGGTTTGCTCTGTTGGTTGGTGGAAGTCCCAGGAGCTACGGATTTCGTTTGAGGTTTGCCCGGCAGTTTCACCGGAGACTTTGATTTCCGCGTCTGCAGCTAAACAGTCACTTCGGGACTCGGTTCTTTGTATCGCCCTGCCGCTCTCAGCAGGTGCAGGATCCTGCTCCGGCAGATCGCTGGCATCAGCCCTTGTCGGCTTCCTTCAGCCCGATACCGTCTCGTAATTACGCTCTAGGTAAAGCCAGGAATTCAGTAGCAGCGACGTTGCCCTTTCACAACAGTTTCCCTAATTGCTTAACAAGAAACAACTTTAGGACCATCTTCAAAACATATTCACGTTCTGCGAAACTGGAGTTCATCCTTGCGGGATGCTGTGCTAAAACCTGTGGGTGGCAGGTGAGTGGCCGCGGTGTGACAGAGTTCTGGGAAAAGGGAGGGAGAATCCTCCCAAACGTGTTTCCCCGCTCCTTGCATAGTTTCTGCAGAAGGTGAGGCTGATCTGGCAACTGCAGAGTAGACTAGACTTGAATTTAATGGCTCAGAAGTAGACCTTCTGTATGGTTTTGTGTAAATTGCTTGATTTCTTATATCTAATTTCTCTGTTTGTGAAGTGAGAAATGAACACGTGCCTACTTACTAAACGAAGTCATTTGGTTTGACATATCTCTATTAAACAGAACCTGGGACAGAAAACTGTGGCTTTGCTATTCTCTCTTTGGCGGATCTGCATGTGTCATGAAGAGGTGCTGGGCTGAATTTAGGAGAGATTGCAAATGCCTTGTCAAATGCAGCAGTTCTTCATATCTGCAGTTTATTTTTAAATAGTATGCTCTCTTACACTGAGTGCTGTAATAGTCTTCCTTGTGCCTTAAGGGAAATGGACAGACTGTTCAGCTGGATGATGGGATAGACCTCAATCCATTTTTAAACTGGACTTTATGTTTTTAATAGCTTTTTTCCTCTCTTACTAATTAGACTGATACTTCAGTAATTCATAGGACTTTTAGAACATCAAGCAGAACTTGGTTTTCTTGGAACAACTGTTTAGTAATGCCCTAATTCAGCAATCCCTATCAGAGTTTATTGATAGCTATGGCCACACAAAGGTTAGGTATAGTTACTATATTACCATGTTGTATTTCATATATTTTAAGGTTAATTAGGGAATTTTGGAATTTTTGTTGCCAGTCAGAGCACTCAGGAGCACTTGGGTCATCTTTGAATGGGCTGCTCAAAGTAATTGAGATTGTTCAGAGGAGTGTTTGCTAACTAAAAACCAAAATGCCCTGACATTCTTCATACGCTAGAAGCAATACACTTTTCTTCATATTTTTATTTACTTTAGTTTAACACTTGCCTGCGTTGAACCATAGATCTCTATAGGATAAATCTATGATTCTTTCTTTGTTTTGTTTTGTTTTCCCTAGAACTGGCAGATATATACTGAATCTGGCATGCATAAAGGACTACCTCTTTCTGACCTGGTCATTATCCTTGAGAAACTGTTGAAACCTTAGGAAAATGGTAAGTTTTATACATTTTTTTTGTTTAGAAATTACAATGCAGATAGTTGTTTAATATATTGAAGTGTATCCAAGGACATTTGAACAGATATTTTCAAGTTAATGGCTGATTGTGGCACATATTTTCTGTCTTAATCTAGCTATTACCATGTGCAAATATTTGAATTTACAGTATTATCTCATAGAGTGTTATGTCTTTGTAATTTCAGTGCATGGTAGGGTGCTCTGAAATTATTGCTTCTTCCTAACTATTGTTTTCTGAAATAAATCAGAGAATGAATCAAAAGGGTTACCTGTTTGATTGGATTCCAGCCTGTGCTTGAATGAAAGAAACTCAGTTTTATGGGTCAAAAAGATCAGTAAAGAGATTTTTCTTCACAATGATTCTCAATGTCTTTTTCATTTACTTTCATTTGGCTCCATTTAAAGTTTATTTTTTAAGTTAATATGAAAACATTAGTCTTAGCATTATTTTGCTATGTGTTAACCACTTAGCTGTACCAAATATTGACAAGCATTTCTAAGTAAGGGGGAAAATTGTGGTAATACATACATCTCAATCTCAGTTTTTCAAACTCTTACGACCATACTTAATTTTAAGTACAAATTCAGTGGAATTGCCATCTTGCACAAAAACCCCAAGAGGTATGTGAATGGAAATTTGCAGGATCATAAATTTTTCTTGTTCTGGTAGTGACGCTTTATCATTAGAGTCTCCCTTTTGGCTCAAAATACAGATTAAGTTTGTCAGCATACAGTTGTTTCAGAAACTCTTTATCTTTCTATTTTATTCACCATATCCCATTTTATCATTAGCTCATTGTAAAATTGTGTAAAATGAACTCATTGAAAATTTAAGTTCTACTCTTAAAATTGAGTGCTCTGTTGTTTTTGGTTTTTTTTTTTAATTATGCACATACTGAAAGGCTTTCGTGTTACCAAATACTACCTCTAATGTGAATTTTTTTAAAAACCTTACAACAGAGCTGATGTTCAGAAAAAGAGCTGAAAGAATCACTTAAGCATATTAGCTTCAGTAATGTGAAAATAAAATAACCTGCTACATGCTTGAATTGGCAGAAACATATCTCTGCCTTGCTGAGATGCAGGATGTCACAGAATTACGGTTTTCACTTATTTTATTCAGTATACTTCAGTAATCTTGTTATAACACTTTGGATGGTGACCAAGGAAAATAGTAGGAGTGGTAAGAGACTTCTTTAAAAGTGGTTGTGAGCGCTGTGCACTCAGGAAAATAGTCTCTAGGAAGAATTACTTTTTAAAAATCAATTAGAGGATAGCCTCATTCTTTTGTCCTATTCTCTTGTCATTGCTGTCCCCCACTCCAAGCCCGTATGTGCACAAAAGAAACATCCCAAGGACTGAAGTAGAATTTAATCCTATGCCACAGTCTGATTTGAGATCCAGTAAGTTTGCAACCTCTGTGTTGTATTTGGACATCTTACTTCTATGTGAAAATCGGTCTATATAATGAGGTCAGAAATTTTGTATTTAGAGTCACTATAGTCTATGAACCTTAATCTGCTGTTTTTCTATATGTAATCTGTTTGGATTTTGGGGAGGGGTGGTGGAGTTTTTTTGCTCTTTGGTCAAGCTATTAGTAGTAAGGGAAATAAGAATCCAAGGTTCCTTGGAAGCCTTCCAGCTCCGTGTGACAACGTAGGTTCCAGCCTAGCACTGAAAACCTGATTAATAGGGAATTACTGTCCATTAAAAGTGGGCTAGATCAGTTGTGCAGATGTGAGTGCTCAGGTACCAATTAAGTTAAGCTATCAAGTTAGTTCTCCTTTGAGATTGTTTCTGAGCACCAGGTGTATGGTCATGTATGTTAATGTAAACTTATTTGAAAAAAAAAAAAAATGTTAAACCTCTCCTCCTTTGGTATTTTTCTGTTGTAATAACATGCTGTTTAATAGGAAAGCATTTTCACACCAGGTGCAGATTGACTTTGCAGCCTTACAAACACCGCAGTAAAGTTCACAGCTGACAAAAGAGCCATTCAGCACAAAAGTAAACATTTTTAAATGAGCTCATGCCTTGAATTCTGTCCCTACTGATGCTAATAAGAGTGTCCATGTCTTATTTTCCCTTATAATGAACACTAAGCAGCAATATTTTTGAAAAGTTCAGTGGAGAGTCAAAAGGTTCTGTAGTGTGAAGACTGTTGCATAAGCTGTGTATTGTAAGGCATTTTGGCAGGGGTACAAACTTTCTCGCTCTGTGCTATATCTGTTCCGTGTACACAGAGAAACTCAGTCCCTAGGGCTATCAATCTGGCATCTTTCATCAGCACTAAATTTACTGCAAATATTTTTTGTGTGCATGCAAAAAGAAGTCCTGTTGAACTTTTGTGGACAGGAGCAAAAACATTTAAAAAGGTGCATCTTCTGTTTACTGCTCTCAGAATTCCTCTTCGTTGAATTCTGCTGAGCAACTTCTGCAGACTCTCAAGTTCACTCAGCCCGTGTTTGTGTGTCTGTCTTGCCACAAGTCTTTGTGTTGAGTGCTTTGGCAATGTTACCTTGCTCAAGAGCTTGTCACGCTGAAGATTTTTTTACTCTATTTTACTTATTTATCTACTTACTGTATAACTGTGATGTCTTTGAAGGTGTGTTGCTGACTTATAAGGGAAGTGTAGAGGAGAAATTATGTTAGTGTCAAATATGTCTGTAGACAAATTTTGGTGTGTTGCACACTTGATTTTTAGGAACAGAGTTTCTTAGGAGGGTGAAGTTTTTTCTACTGTTCCAATACAGTGC